TCCAGGTCCTCTTCAGGGCCCCTGCAGGCTTCCCTGACAGAGCGCTGACAGCACAGCAATCACTCCCCCGCTGGGACTGGACAGACCTGCAGCCTTGTGGGAACCTCTGCCTGGGTTGAATTTCTCCCCATGGATTCCTTCAAATACTGAAGCTTCCAGTCTCGCGTGGGAAGCAGGAAGCCAGCTTCAGCTCCTCTCTGGCTCTGGCCTTGTGCGTTTCCATCCCTTCAACAGAAGGCATGTTCAGCCAGGAAGCCGAATCTGCTGGGCCAAGGGCTCCTCTTAAGGCTGCGCAACAGTCTGTCCTAGTCCTCTCCTCTCTCCTCCCTCGCGCTGGCCATGCAGGTGCCAAGGGTTCCCCTTGTATCCCTTGTTTGTGTCCTTTGGGGTGGTGAGCCTAGGGTGGTGCCTTTGTCACGAGGCGATGTCTTTCAGTGAGTCTCAATACGAAACTGCAGGCTCATATTGAGCATCTTGGAAGCCACGATGCAGAGATAGGAGAGGTTGATGCACAGCCCCCAAGCCAGGACTAAGAGGATGAGCAGTGTGAAGCTCAGCCCATTGCATTGCGGAAGACCCCGTATGGTTGCGGGAGCAGTGGCACACACCTGTAATCCTAGCTCTTGGGAGGGAGGGAGTCTGAGGCAGGAGGATTGCTGCGAGTTTGAGGCCAGCCTGGGCAGCAAAGCGAGTTCAAGGCCAGCCTGCACTCCATAGCGATACTTTGTCTCCAAAAACAAAATGAAACCAAACAAAACACCACAGGGGTGGGCATCCTCTGACTGCGAGAGCTGTACAGCCATGCACCACACAACTTATGCTATAGATGTTTTCCATGTCTATGGTCCCCCCTCCCCGCACTGACCCCAGCCTCTGCCACTAGCCCCTGCTCCTGGCTGTTGGCCCTCACTCAGAGCTCAGGGAAAGAGGGAGATTGGCAGCTAGACCTGTATCTCTTCATGCTCTTATAAAGTTGATCTATCCAAAACCACTCCAGGCCCCTGGCTGCCTCCCAGAAATAGAGCCCACCTGCCATCTCCCTCTCACCACTCAGCTTCCCACAGCCTAGCAACAACTCTTCCCCCTAGCTCTTCTGTTTCACTTCCAATTTCTAAATATCCTTTCTTGTATCCCTTTGTTGAAATCATATGTTTCTCTCTGCCTCATATTATAGGTAACCATTTTGTGGATATTTGACACTGACAAGTGTGGAAAGAGGGGAAATAGAGGAATGAAAAGTAGTTGATGAGAAGATTCTTAGATATGGAGTATAAGAAAGTTTTGTTTCCACTCTGCAGTTCTCTTAGAGGCCCTAGTTTTGTTTGGAAACTGCGCTTCCAGGGTGCAGATGTATGTTATACTGCCAGTGCCTGAATGCCACTTCTTCAGTCTCTTGTGTCCCTTGTTTGTGAATATGCTTTAAATGGGAGTCTTTTTACTCTTAGAGTCTAAAATATTGACATGTCAATTTTGGGAAACCACAAAGCCTCCTCTTTAAGACCTATTCTTCAGTAGACAGAGTAGATAGAGCTCATTGATGTACTACTGAAAATAAAATTTACACCACTGGACTCATAGCTCTACCCCACAGCACTGTCCCTGCCCATAGCTCCAGATTCATGTACAAGAATGAGTGCGACACCAAGTAAGAAAAACACAAATGACCAATTTGTAAATGAATGTTGATTGTGTAATGAGCCTGCTTCCTAAGAAAGTTAATGCAACACAAGGACAGAGATGACTTTTGCTCATGGATCGTATTGCTGGTTGGAAGGCTGGACATCGTAAGGAGATTGGGGGAAATGGGGGCTGTGATAGAGGAAATACACTCAACCTTTTGTAAGGAGGGTGAAAATTGCATCGACCCCTCAAAACCTAGAAGTATAGATATGAGAATGCTGAGTCCCTTCAAGAAGAGGTTGACTACTTTTCCTAGAGGCAAAATGACCCAAGTGTGGAGGCCCTGGTGGGAGACTGGAGTCTTCAGCCTCTTAGAGCAGAGTCCTATGCAAGATGGAGGTGGCGTGAGTGTAGACGAGCTCAACCGGGCTGGTGTGCATGGGCCACAGAAGATGATCCGAGGCCTGGAGTGTGTGTGTGTGGGGGGGGGTCACTAAGACATTGACTTCTTCAGAATGAATTCTTTCTCTTTTCCCTGCCAAGCCACCCCACTGTTCTAGGCTTGCATTCCTTCATCTATAACATGAATAGAGAACACATGATGTTCCTGAAAATCCCCCGCATTTTGGACAGACTGTAGTCTTTTCATTTAAAGCAGGTATCTCCCAGAAGAAAAACTTTCTTTGCTTAGAATAGCAGCATGAAACAATGGACCTCTTCCTCAGCCATCACCGACATTTTATTGCACGGTCCATGAATATTTATCTCACTGGATGGATGAAAATGATCTTGTGTGAGTTCTACAAAGGAAAATGAGTGTGAGCCTGCTAAGAAAAAGTTGCCGGCTGAGGGAAGGATTCACTTTCATGGGGACACCTCAACTGCTTTGGCTTAATGAAAGGGAGCATTAAAAAAATTCTCAAATGAACCCTAAGGAAAAAGTAATTTCAGACACATTCTTAGGATGAGGAGTGAGGAGATTATGTTAATGGCATCTGACTCCAGAGGATGCCAACTCAGTTTTGTAATACTAAGCCAAGCTGTGGGTTACAAGAATGGAAATTACATATATAT